AATGTTGTATGTCTGTTAATGTTTCCCTCCTTTTATTTTTAAAATAAAAAAAATAAATAAAATAAAATACGCTGCTAAGATATGACATGCAAACTCACCATATTAAGATTGTGCAGAATGTAAAGTGATTCAGTCTCTACTCAACATGCTAAAAGTGATGGTTAAAGAGCTGAGAGAAGTAGAATAAAACCTGATATTTATTTGCAGCTTTGAGGAATTCATGAGGAACAAAGGACTCACTCTCAGTAGTTTTTCTCCTATCAATTTTCCTAAACCAGAGTATGTTGACTCCCTTGTGCACTCCCTTGGAGTGAATATACTAATAAAATGTGCCACCTTTGTAATCCAGGATATCTCTTTGGTGTTTTTAACTGATAAATTGAGGTTAAATTTGAAGCACTAGCCTATCCCAAGGCATTTGCACATTTTTAACCCTAGTACAGACAATGTAGAAATTACTACAGCAAATGTTAATCCATACCATCATAATATAAAAATTGTCATCCACTGTCTCTAATTTATACCTAATATAGTCAGAGTACTGAAAGCATCTTTTGGAGGCTGCTACCACAATGAAGAATCTTATGCCATTACACATAAGAATCAAGGCACTTTTAAATCACTTTTAAAACACTTTTTAATGTTGCCTAAGCAGCAAAAGATATATGAGCTTCAGATAGACAACATTTCCAAAAATGACTTTTGGTTCACAGTGAAATTCAAGTTGAACCATATTGTCAACTTTGCAGTAGTAAAGTGCTATATCAGTATAAGACAAACTCTGGTTTTCACTGAAGGCAACTTCTACTACCTTTACATGGAGGTACTATTACCCAGTTCATTTTTCTTATATCATGTTACTGTTATTTTCTTTTATTAAACATCAATATTGTATATCAATGTAACACAAAAGTTACTTTTCTCATTTAGTGTTTCCATTTTATAAACTTATTCTACAATATAGAGTAATTTATTCAATGTTGTTACCCACATTCCCTTCCTTACTTTTATAGTTTCCTAACTCTTTTAAGGAATGCTGAAAGGACAGATTTCCTAAAGGTTCCTGAGATGTGTATGTAATATTCATCAGGGTATATCCAGTCATTTTAAGGAGGCATACTATTTTGTTGAATAATCTTCACCAAATCTTTATTTTTCCTTATATGTTTTCATTATATGCTTTCATCTGTCATATCTCAGGCTTCATTAATTATATCAAAATCTACCTCATTAATGTTTTTACTTTCTACTATAAACATTTCAGTGCAGTTTGCCTCATTAAGATCATTTTCAGATAGGCTGCCTCCAGAAGGAAGCAATCTATTCTCCTTCTACTCCATGTGATGAGCCACATGACTGCCAACTGTTAACCGTATACTTTGATTGCTAGAGTTTCATTGGTTCTGCTCCAAATTTCTTGTTTATTCCTCACTATTCAAAACAGCTCTCAA